CTCTGTTCCATAATAAATCACAAGGGATATAAGCACTGTGTAATTTGGCATATTAAACAACCCCATATAAAGCGGTTTATGCAAATAAGCATTCAAGAAATTAAAACCAGACCATAACTGGGTCGGCTAAGCGGCTCTCAACAAAACCTTTATTTGGGCTAACGAAGATAAGAACAACAATTAAAGCTTCAAAAAGAACTCTAAACGAAAAGAGAGAAAGAAGGAGAGGATAAACAAAGCAAAATATATATCTGAACAAAGAAAGCCTGGAAATAGGAAAATTGGTAGAAAGCCTGCGGCAGAGGAGAGAGAGGGAGAGAAGTGGTGACAAAAGTGGAAGAAAATAAGGAAAAATAATTATTACATTTTAGTAAACCTCCCCCCTTCCTTGTTTCTCCCCAACGTTGTGTTTGGGTTGTTTTTTTAGCAAATTTAAAAAGAAAAGATAATGACAACTAAATGCTCCCAAGATCCTGAAAATGAATAGCAAAAACGACAAAAAACTGTACCAAACAAGAAAAGAGATTATCAACTTTTTTCTCCCCTCAAGCGAATCAGGAGGTAAATGAAGACTTGTCTTTGGATTCTTCTTTTTCCAATAGCACCCATTCCTTTAGACCCAAACAATATTACTCCAGAAATAATGAAAAACGTTTTGGACAATACACAAAGAAATAAAAAAAGAAATTCAAGATAATGCTATAGACCTCAAAAGTGAGATTTCTAAAGTTCTAACCCGAATACGAAGCATAGAAGAGAAAGTAGAACATATGGAATTTCAGCTCCTAACACTTAAAGAAACACACAACAAGATGAAGGCAAAAATTGTATCTTTGGAAGAGAAAATAGCTGACTTAGGTTTGTTCTGCGAGCACGATCTTCTAAGATTTAGAAACATCCCAGAAAATATAACAGAGGACAAATTAAGAGATTTCTTGAAATAATTTTATACGGCTCTGAATGTCTCATTAGACTCTCATGACACCAAAATGGAAAGTTGCCACAGAATCTTCAAATCTCCCAATGTGAAAAATTATTTCCCAAGAGATGTCATTGTTGCATTCCATATGTATGAATTCAGGAACCTTATTCTATCAACACTGAAAAAGAATAAACTTACTGAAGAAAAATTTAAGGATATATATGCCCTTCCGGATTTCTCATACAACACAAGAACTAAAAGAAGAGAATTCTCTCCACTTTTTCCGACTCTGACAAAACACAGCTTAAAATTCAGATAGCGATATCCATCTTTGCTCCAGATCCTGCACTACAACGACTGGCAAACGTTTAAGACTTATGATATGGCAAGGGAATGGTTGAATACAACCAATTTTAGATAATTATGAACCACAAATGAAGAAGAGCCAAGAAGAAATCAAGAGAACTTTGTAGTGTTCTTTCTTTTCTCCTCTGTGTTTTTTGTGTTTTTCTCTTTCTTCTTCTCTCTTTCACAAATTGATGTCACTGAACCAGTAACGATTACTAACACAGATTCACTATATTAATATATTAACAAATATTATGATATTAGGCTTCAACCTAACAAGTAAATACACATATCATATAGATAAAGAGGAGAAACAAGAAACTCGGGGTTTAAAAGAGGGAATTTATTTCTCTCTCTCTCTCTCTCTCTCTCTCTTTTTTTTTATATTAGCAAATATTAGGAGTAATTCACTAAGTTAATGAATATACACACAAAGATAAGAAGGGTAAGGGGAGCGTAGGATAAGATGAGATTGAGACTAAGGGGGTAGCTAGAGTTAAAAAAGTTGAAATATATATATGACAATTCCCCTTTCATAATATTAAGGACACAGAATCAACAAAGACTATAGACACTAATTCACTATATTAATATAACACTATGATAACAGGTGTAAACTTAAAGATTAATGAATGGAATCACAAGATAAAAGAAAGGAGAGGGAGAGGGAGAGGGAGAAGGAAGGGGAGAAAATATGAAGAGAATGAATGATGAGAGAGAGATGACAAGAAATGTGAAGAGAGAATTAAAAGACTCCCTTTAATATATTTAAGCACAAATAAGCGGTAATCATAAATAAGATCGAGGGAACCACAAACCAAGATGCTGAAGAGATTGAGAGGGTTTATCAAAAATTATTACACACATAACTAAATAATTATATTTAATTTAGACTTTATTACAACTACTAATTAAGTTTTCTAGAATGTGTCAGTTCCTAATTATGAGACTTTACGACGCAGGCAGAAGATAAAAGACAAAATGAAAAAGTAGATAAAAATATGAGTTAAAATCTGCAAACATATTAGAGGCTTGTTTACGAACAATATGAATAAATATCAGCATGCTTCCCTCCCTGTGGGTATCATACTTGATACTTTGATGTTGGAGATCTTCTGTACTCCAATTTATAACACTTTTTGCAATGTTTTTTTTTGTATGATGTTTTTTAACACACACAAATTTATGTTGTCTTGTTTTATACGCTGTTTTAATGTGATGTTGTTTAGTATATCAAGGCTATTTCTGATTTTAAAAAAAGAACTGTGAACATAGAAAGAGAATGAAGAAAGGATAAATGAGAAAATCAGAATTAAAATAGTTAAGTTAATATCTATCAATGTCCAAGGGCTTAATTCTCCAAATAAGAGAGGATTCCTGTATACCCTTTTGAGAGAAGGGGCCCAGATATGTTTTATTCAGGAAACCCATTGGAGAAAGTTGGATAAACAACAATGGAACTTTAAAAAGTTTCCCTTCATAGCCACAGCCTCAAAGACAAAAAAAAGAAAAGAGGAGTTGCAATAATTTTTTTAAAACACAATTGAGTATCTATGCGAATATTCTGAAAGCGACCCAGAGGGCAGATTTATTATATGGATAGGCACGGTTAACGAAATTCAATATACTTTAGTGAATATATACCAAATAAAGCTCCAGTAAACTATTTGTCTAAAATAAGGGTAGTGGATGCATGGAATAGTCTTCCAGCTGAAGTGGTAGAGGTTAACACAGTAAAGGAGTTTAAGCATGCGTGGGATAGGCATAAGGCTATCCTAACTATAAGATAAGGCCAGGGACTAATGAAAGTATTTAGAAAATTGGGCAGACTAGATGGGCCGAATGGTTCTTATCTGCCGTCACATTCTATGTTTCTATGTTACTAGAATTGAAAGAAATAGGGGAAAACAGCCCATGGAGATTGAATGATTCTATATTAACTACGAAAAAAACCAAAGAATATATAAAAAATATTTCTGAGTTATTTTTCGCTGAAAATCTACCAGAACATCTAATATTAATCTCTGGTGTACATATAAGGCCGTAATCAGAGGTCGTTTGATAAAGCTAGCTAGCCGAGAAAGCAAAGAACGAGGGATTAGTCTAACATCCCTTTATATAAAATTATATAATCTAATAGCCCAGAACAGAGAAATACTCACAAGAGAATGTTGATCTTATTAAAGAATATAAAAACAAGTTAAATCAAAAGACCCTGGAGAAGATTGAATTTAATTTGAAAAAACTTAATATTAAATATTATCGAAAATCGATAGAATATTAACAAATAGATTTAAAAAAAATAAAGCAGATAACAAGATCTATACAATTATAGAAGAAGATAATATTTTATTAACCCAAGAAAGTACTGGTAATTCTTTTAGGAAATATTACAAGAAACTATATAATTTAGAAGCTAAATCCACAGAGTCAGCCATTGATAAATATCTAGAAAAAATAAAAATCCCAAAAATTACTCCAGAACAAAAACAGAAATTAAATCAAGAGATGAAACAAGAAGTACATATTGTTATAACAATCTTCAAACTATAAAAACACCAGGCCCTGATGGCTTTTCAAACTTATTCTTTAAAACATTCATAGATATTATCTCTTCAAACAATTAATGAAATAGCCTCTACTCGTAATATAATAAAATAACTATTAAGAGCCAATATAAAACCCATTCTGAAATTGAATAAACCTTCAACAGACATTATGAACTACAGACTAATTTAATTGATTGACACAGACATTAAAATCTATGCTTCAGTTCTAGCCCGAAGACTAACTCCATTACTTCCTGATTTGATTAATGCTGATCAAATAGGTTTTATCCAGGGCTGACACTCTAGTGATAACTCGCGTAGGATGATTGATATCTTAGAACATGCCCAATCCTTAGGGGCACCCCTTCTCACCCTGTCGGTGGACGCAGAAAAGGCCTTCGACAGGGTCGGATGGGGATTCATGAAGAAAACCCTGGCATCATTTGGGCTGGAAGGATGGATCGCAAACGCTATTGGAGCCCTATATACCTGCCCAACTGCTAGAATAGTGGGACCAGATTTTTGTACACAATGGGTTGAGATCACAAATGGAACGAGACAGGTTTGTCCTCTGTCTCCTCTCCTATATGTTCTCTCAATTGAGCCGTTTGCTATCAACATTAGAAATAATGCTGAAATAAAAAGTATGACTATAGGCAACTCTGAAATAAAAATGTGTCTATATGCAGATGATGTTCTGATTTCTATTGTTGATTCTATTTTATCATTAGGTCATCTAATGCAGGAGGTCCAAAAATACGGGGAGATTTTTAACTATAAAATTAATATTCATAAAACAACAGCTCTGACTATAAATCTTAATCCTTCCTCTCTAAAGGTCCTAAAAGACAAATAATTTTTATTGGTCCAAGAAAATATTCAATATCTAGTAATAACTATAACAGTCAACCCAAAATCTATAGTCAAAACCAATGTCTTGAAATTGATAAAATACACAAATAGAATGGTATTTCCTAGAGATCTCTTGGTGGGAAAGAACCAACACGATAAAGGCATATATCATCCCTAAATGGGCTTATCTTTTTAATACGATTCCATTAAAATTTCCTAAGATTTGGTTGGCTATAATTCAGCTCTCCTTCTCTAATTTCATATTGAAAGGAAAGACTCCAAAAATTAAGACACAGGTTCTGATAAAAAAAGTAACAAAGGAGGTATGGGATATCCCCTAATAAGAGATATATACTGGGCCAACATAATTACCCATATCCATAAATTTCAGATCTATAACTCAAGGGAGTTGGCCTGGTTCAAAATAGAAACATTTAGATCCGAAGAAAGATACCTAGCCCTTCTGATATGGGACAACTTTACTAAGGTCAACCATCAACCAATGGAATTTAACTCAAGGGTCTTAAACCATCTTATAGAAGAATGGCAATTAATAAAAAAATAATCTCAAGATAACCAATAAAATATTCGAAGGAGCCAACCTGCAAGTCCTAGAAAGAGTTATGCAAGACCAAAATCTCAGCTCGTGGAGAATCCATAAAGAAATTTATTAAATAAACTTAACTTCTAAATTCCAAGTTAAGTTCATTTGAAAATCTAAAACTAAAATTGGATATTTCTGATAAATACATTTTTTGCGTATATAAGAGTAAGAGGTTTTTTAAACGAATTCCTTTTAAAAGGCAGAAGGAGATAAAAAGAGGCTAATTCATAAAAGCTTTAAAGAAGTGAGGTCAAAGCAGTTAGCTCTAGAGTTATAGAATTAATAAGACAATCATATTCATTCATAGAACCCCCAGCAAAAAAGAAATGGGAAAAAGACTTGAGCCAAAAAAATCACAGACAAGGAATAGTATTTTCCTTTAAGATTAATAAAAAAAACACATACATTGTCTCAACATTATAGAAACATTCTTTAAAGTACTACATAGATGGTACTTAGTCCCAACTAGACTGGCTAAAATATCTTTGGCTAACTCTCCACTTTGTTGGAGATGCCTAGCCCATGAAGGCTCGATGCTACATATTTGGTGGAACTGTCCAAGAATAACCACATTTTGTGCCGGTGATGGGCCTGTTCTTGCACAATGGGAGGCCAATGGTTTTGCTGCCGTAGGATCCCTCTCTGTTGGCCTTGTCTCCGGTTGGGTCGGACCTGCGTTGAGGATGGTTTCTTGTGGCAATCCCAGGGTCGGTAGGAGGTCTCTGGCACTCTGTAGGTCGTGTGCTTTATACGATGTGTCGCCGTGGTGGATCACTAGAGCCCAGGGTCGTCTCCACTGGTAACTGATTTTATGAAGGCGGAGGAGGGCCGTGAAGGGATTTAAGGTGCGGCGCCAAGCTAGTGTCGGCCTCGATAGATCCGCATAGAAAGAGAGCGGTCTGTCAAATATGTATGGCGTCCGTGTTCTAGTTGCTTTGTCTCCGTGGCTTATGAAGCGCACTAGGAGATCTCTCGGTGCCGTAGCAGGGGCTTTCGGTGGTTGTGGGAGGCGAAAAATCCCCCCCAGAGTCACTTGCTTGGCCTGTTTGGTGGGTAGTAGGCATCGTATGAAGTGTGGCACTTCCGCTTCTGGGATCTCTTCTCCGAGTCCCCTTATTTTAATATTCAGGCTTCTCCTCTGATCCTCTAGATCTGCAAATTGTTGGTCTGTTTTATGGGACAGTTGTTGCAGTTCCTGTACCGCTCTATGTAACTGCGCTGTGTCCTGCTGGTTTCGGCGGGAGTCTGCCTCTAGTGTGGACTGGCGGCCTGTCAGGCCCTGCAGATCTCCGCGTATGCGGGCCATATCTGCCTGTATTGTAAGTTGTAGTCCAGCCAGCAGTTCCCTCATCACTGCTGTGGTCACTGGGGAGTTTTCCGTTTGCGGGCTCGTTTGTGTGAGAGCCATCGCTACGGGCGGGCAGTGCTCTGCGTCGCTCGTGAAGTCGTCTGACAGTTCAGAGTAATGGTCGGCATAGTCGGCCATGCTTGAACCGGTGTTGCTGCAGGCCTGCCGCCACAGGTCGCTGATATTGCCACTCAGCCGGAGTTTGTCGGGTTTTGCTTTTTTAGTTTTCCTGCCCATCTCCTCTTCTCTAGTTGTTGGTGTCTTTTGGTACTTATTGTTTGGTTTTTTTGCGGTATCCGAGGGTGTTTTTTGAGGCTTGGTCCAGAGCATCGGTAGAATGCGGCCATTCAGGTCCGTGGTTAGGCCCCGCCCCCTGGAAACTAAATTTTAACGCCAGACTTTACCCAATACAAAAATCTACTTATTTACCAACTTGAAATGGAAAGGGGAGTTTCTTACTCAAATAATAATTTAAACCATATTCATAATTATGACCACTTGATTAATAAAATAAGGGAAATTCCCTAAAGGAATTTAATGAGTTTAAACTCACATACCTTGACATACTATGTCTTAAATATATGTATATAACTGTTAATCTGAGAACCACACTAAACTATATTACATGTATTTAATGTCTATATTTGTAATGTCCATGTGTACTGTTTGTTTTCTCAATGTTCGTACATTCTACACAAAAAATAAACAGATTAAACACCATAAGGATGGTGGTATGACCATTAGAACTCGTAAGTTCCACAATGAAATCCATGGTCAAGTGGGACAATGGAACACTAGGTGCAGGGAGTGGATGTAACAATCCACACGGAAGTTTATGAGGAGCCTTAGAAACTGCACACACAGAACAGGCCTCCACATATTCTTTAATATCTCTCCTGAGTGAATCCCACCAAAAAGATCTAGAGACAACGGTTATGGTTTTATTAATGCCCGGATGCCCAGCAGTCACATTGTCGTGGAATACTCTCATTACTTCCTTTCTTTCAGACAACGGAATAAATAATTTATCCAGAGGTATATTACAAGGTGACTGGGATTGAGCCGCCATAATAACACTAAGCAAAGGGGATGACAAGGAAAGAACAGTGGAAGCAATGAAACACTCAGGAGGAACAATAGGGGATATCTCTTGTTCAGATTCTATGTCAAACTGTCTAGATAAGGCATCAGCTTTAAAGTTTTTGGGACCACGTCTGTAAGTGATAATAAAGTTAAAGTGAGATAAAAATAAAGACCGTTTTGCCTGTCTAGAAGACAGTCATTTAGCATCACCAATATATGCCCAATTTTTGTGATCAGTTATAAATATCAAAAGGGGATCCTTGGAACCCTCTAAAAAGATGTCGCCATTCTTTAAGTGCTAGTATAAAGGCCAACAATCCTCTGTTGCCAATATCATAATTACGCTCTGCTGGAGACAACTTTCTAGAAAAGTACCCACAGGGATGCAAAGGGGTATCCTGACTCTCCGTTTGAGAAAGAACAGCCCCCACCCCCTGTTTCGGAGGCATCAACCTCCAGTATGAGGGATTTGCTAGTGTCAGGATGTACCAAAATGTCAGCAGAAGCAAAACAATTTTAAGAAGTTCAAAAGCTTCTCTAGCTCCTTTAGACCATACTGCTCCCTTAGGGGGCATAGCACCGGGTGATGAGGATCCTGCTCAAGTGAGCTTATGGTCTATATTGCTTTAACACTGCTGATATAACACTGCTGATAAACAAAAGGGTCCTGTTTACTAAATAAATACAAATTCATTGTATTGATGTGTTTTAGAAAGGGTACAATCCATCTTTGCATTGGCTGCTAAATAACAAGTTATACAATTATTTTTATTACTGTTTAAACTTAGTTTTAACAGAATTTCATTTATGTTTTTTATATACATTTGTTTAAATTAATATTTTTCATTGAATATACCCTGTATTGACTATAATGCAATGTTTGCAAACAAGATGTTTTAGACATGAAAAGCTCTGCCACAGAAGGGAATCCTGTGTCTTTAAGAGAAAATGCTCTCTGCTACATCTGACAGGGTATATAAATCACAAGATAAGGCAGACTCATTATCTTGAAAAAGCCAGAGTACTGGCAGAACACATGGATGAGTTAGAAGCCTTTCATCTTATCTTTCCAGGGAGACACCTCTGGCAGTAAGTGCTTTGTCATCCCTCCATTTGAACTTGCAGCATTTCGGCTAGATCCTTGGACATTTTCTGGATTTCTACTGCACCAAAGGAGTGGTAATACTTTCAGCACACTGCTTATCTGCTACATATTCTGGACTTTGTTTGGATCTTTAGATGGAAAGTAGGATTTAACCACCATCTTTTTTACTGTGTATGAGTTTTTTTTAAAGGATTTGGAGTTTTATTTTTACATGATATTAATAAACTGTGTTGCATTTTCTTTGCTTGGTTTGTATCTTTGAAGATACTTACTGTGATCACTGGTGTTGGATACAAAGTTTACACAGAATACTCCTAATTTCCTAAACCACCGCTGTGGAGGTGGAAATCATACACATTTATCTCAATACCCAGCTTCCACACAAACACTTATTTGGGGCTATTGCACAGCGCTGACATTTATCTACTTTTGGACATTCTATCACATAGGTTTACAGAATAACCTTTTATGTCTGGCAGCTAAAAATTTTTTATCTTTGGACTTTTAATATTTGGTGTCATACAGACGATTTAATTTTATATTGCGCTTTTTTGTTGTATTTTTTGTGTAATGCTGATATATTGTTTGTTTTATCACATCTGATTTTTGTTAAGAGTTTTCACCTTCACTACATAATTATTTAGTTTATTAGGTTAAATTAGTTTATAGTTGTTGTTTTCAGTCATAGGCTAATATTATTAGAGACCGAGTATTGTGAGTTCTAACACAAAATAACTCCCCAGTAGCCAATTCCTGGTGCATCAATTTATTTTTACATTCTTTATTTTAGCAGTGCAGAGGTAAGCATACAGGCTTGGAAAGACAATTTATAATGTCTACTAACCGTAGTAAAGGTCTTGGTTATGTAACAAAGTACTGAGAAATGCTACAGTTTTGTTTATTTTGATATTTATTAATTTTTTAATTTTTTTTAAAAGGTAAATCAGACAGGTGTGTGTCAATTAAGGAGTAAATGAGATAAGAAGAAAAGAAAACAAACAAACAAAAAAAATGTAACATGGGGTAAGCGACAACACAGGAAGTAACATATTCTGAAAGGCCCACCAACCAACGTAACCATAGGGATTAATTCAGCTGGATTGACTGTTAGCTACTATAAAATAAAAAATAAAATAACGTAAGTCCACCTCGGAAAAAGTATGAGTAAGGCCCAAGAGAATGGAGTCACCACAGTTCGCTGAAGAACAGCCAGGGACCACTTTTGTCCTCACCCAATTCCAAAATTATGGGAGAACAGCTGAGCTCTCTGCAGGAGATCCCATGTGTATGGGTAGTTGTAGCTTGGGAGTGCAGGTTGTAGTCCCGCACACAATTGCCACAGGATCTCTATTAGGCAGTCACTGCCACCTTGAGAAGCAGGAAAGAGCAGAGTCCCAGAACAATGGGCCAAGACACATCTCCAAACCACTGCAGGTCTCACCTCGAGTTCATAGGGCCCAAAATTACTGGAAGATCCAAATTCTTCCAGCATTCACAGTTTAGAATAAGGATCAACCTGACCTGTCGGGCTTTGCTTGGGTTGCTGTAATGATGCTGTCATGGGTAAAGAGGTAGGTTGCTGCTGGGCTACAGGGTTTTCCGGGCTAGATGACCATGAGCCCCTATGTCTTGCCATTATGCGAGCTACGAATTTCACAAGGATTAGGTCCAGCATAGCAAGGGATGCAGTAAGTAAGGTCACAGCCGAGTCTCTGGTTACAGACACCGTCATCACTGTTAGCCTTGTAACGTTTCAGCGCTGGGCTACGGGATGTATGGTGTAGGATTGCCTCCTGAGACCAGGATAATCCCTACCAATCCAAAGGGGTAGGGTGAAGCAGAGAAGTCTGAGTTTATCAGCCGGGTTCAGCGTCTGGAGAGTGGCCACCTCTCCTACGCCTTTTGTGCTTCAAGGCCACAATAGGTGCTATTTAGACGATCCAGACGAGGAAAGCTCAAAGTCAGGTATCTTTCATTTTGCTAAGGTTTCCCCTATGTTCTTGTGGTAAAAATTGCAATCTGTTTGATCGACTAATTAGTGTGAAAAGCTCAGGAGCTCACTCCGCAAATGTCTGCTATGTTGGACAGTCAGGCTCCGCACCCTGTACATCTAATTATTGTGAAATCCTCACCGACTATACTTAAAATATTTTGGACCTATCTTTGAATAAAACAGTTTCAACTGCAATGTCATCTATGCAGGAAACAATTGCAAAATCAGTGGCTAAGTCTTTAAGCCATTCTAATAAAAGTCATATTATTAATAACCCTTCAGATCGATTTTGTGGAGCTCAGTGTTTTAGGATGTCTGGGAAGGCAAACATTGTTGTGACGGTCCTTTTGATATCTCCCTACATGTTCAAAACATCAGGAAGGACCAAAATCATAACAGAATTTAAGAGTGTAAAAACACCACATAAAAGACCTTCTGCAGAGTTCTTCTAGTCTCATAACAAAATAGGCAGGTTCCCATCATTCCCATCAGCCAGATCATCTTTTTGTACCCTAAGCGGCACACCGTGGAGATCCAGAGGTCAACAAGGAGTATCTCATTTCTGATCATCCTCTGGTGCGTATTCGCTCCTCCTTCTTACCCAAAAAGGCTAGGAGACAGACTTACACATAATTTCCATGTTTGTAGTCCGATTACAAACAATGCTTGGGTACTAGACAGAGTACTGGGATTCAAAACAGAACTCATCTAAAATCCTGTACAAATAAATATACATTACCCAATAACATTTTCCATTCAGGACCAGGCTCTAGCAACAGACCAGTTCACAGACCAGTCATAAGTTTTAAATATTTAAACAATTATGTCAAATACCAACATTTCAAAATGGGGGAAATTTATGATCTCAAAGACCTTTTGAAACTCGATTGGTTGATAAAAATAGATCTGAAGGATGCGTACCTTACAGAACCTATTCATCACTTGTCAGAGATACCTACAATTTATATAGAAAGGGACAAAATCACAATTCAAATCTTTGCCTTTTGGTTTATCATCTGCAACTTAGTGTTTTACCAAGCTGCTCAAACCGGTAGAATCCCTTCTTCGCAGAAGGGGAGTTAGAGTGGAAATCTATTTGAATGACATTCTCATTATGTCACTTTTTAGTTTCATTTTCAATGAAGATTAATTCTTCTAACAAGTCTTGGATTTTCAATAAACTACGAAAAAACGATTTTAACACTGTCACAGGAGATTGAGTTTCTGGGATTTTTTATAAATTCCAATTTGGCTACTCTCCGTTTTCCATCGAGGAAACGGAAAACGATTGGATGTTGGATCCTACCATTTTCCAATGTTTATTTTCTTTGTGGAGTTAGTTTCACTAGGACCTCTTTGCATCCTGTTTAAATTGCCACCTAGAAAAGTTTTTCAGTTGGTGTCCAGATCCGGAAGTGAAGTAATTCTGCATATATTTGATTAATGCATATTCTGTATTGTTAATAAGTCTCCTGTCTGTGACATCAGAAAATATAGATTTTATTAAAGGCAGGAAGAGCGCCTTATCCTTACCATATTCTTATTTTTCAGTATAATCCTGGTTGGAGATCAAAGTTTGGACTGGTTCTTACCTCCTTGGAGGTTTCTATTGGTTTTATTCTTCTGTTAATGCAGCACGAAAGAGGAATGAGATTTAGGAGTCATGTTTTATATAGTCTATGTTGGATGCTGATTGGTTATTTAGTGTTCTATTTTAGTAATTCATTGTTTTTATCCTTCCAGTTATTCATTAAAATGTTATTGTAAATTTCTTTGCTGCTGGAGTTTAGTAAAGAAAGAAAATGCATAATACTTGCCTTCTGTCTTTAATAACATCTATATTTTCTGATCTCAAGACTAGGAAAATCTTGAATTTCTGCATAGAAATCGTGCACAACTGAAAAATGCAGACTTCTTACCCTACAAAGCCTGTCTCACAAGACACAGGATCAGAAATAATGAAGAAAGGAATAGTGCATAAAGCAATACAACAATCAAAATATCAGTACACAAGTTACACTCAATCTGGCCGTCCATCAGCGGTTCATGTTGGAGATGCTCTAATGGCCGCGGCGACATGGAACACATATGGTGGAGCTGCAGAGACATCCAGGGATTCTGGTCTCTCATACTCTCAACCATCACAGAAATACTAAAACCACCATCACGCCTATCCCCATCACAGATTCTACTAGGTTGGCCCCGCACATTCCCAGAATCTTATAAACAACAGTTACTACAACTCCTACTAGGGGAAGCCAATGCCCTTATCCCGCTATACTGGCGGACTACCACCACGCCTTCCAAAGAACAGTGGGTAGAACACACAAGATGCATGGAAGATATCCACTGGTCACTGTTGGGAAAAAGACACATACATCTTCAAAGATGGAGCCCCTGGACGGAATTCTGGGAGAAGCCCTTGGGAGAGCAAAGGACTTAGATGCCCTTAGAGCAGCGCACCGAAGGCCCAGACGCGCTAGCGACCTACAGCCCCAGTCTGAGTCACCATGGTAGACACCATTTAAGGCACACTCACTACCATATTATGATGTAGTAAGAGGCAGGACACCCCTAGCCCCTAACCCCTCCCCTGTTTCATGTTCTCACCCATGGCCCGTTGCCGACCTAAGTTGCATACCGTTCTTTCTGACGACTTATGACAGAGAGTGCCCTGTATCCGGTTGAACAATACAGGAGTTAACACATTATTACAACCGCCCCAGGGACCATGCAGTCATCCTACCACAGAACAAAACAATGTGTGTTATGGTACGAACTGTTATATGACCCTATGATGTATGCACTGAATGTCACCTATTTCTTTTTTCTGTATCCCATAAACTTATATCTTCGAAAATAAAGAAAAAGTGAAATAAAAAAAAAAAAAATATCAGTACACCAGTTACGCCATGCTTTTTACTATAATGAATACTGGTTTATATTTCTCGTGAACAGCATCTATCTCTTTAAAAATATTTTGATATTGAAAAGGGAGACACTAGGATGAATTACACCAACCTTTTTAATGATTTGAAGAAAAATTACATTTACTCATTTATTTAATTATATAAAAGACAAAAAAAGAAAATCATTACCTTGCAAATTTCTCCTTTACAGGTTTCCATGATGCATTGGTCTGTTGCTTCACATACACATGCTTTCACACAAGCTCAAGTATAACGTTAGAAATTAGAAAGCAATAACAGACACTTGTGTATGAAACATGTTGTCCAGAGTGTTTCCATTTATCCAAGCTAGATAAAATAACAAGGTTGTACAACTTATGTACAAGTAAATTTTGTGTATTAATTCCTAGGTAGACAGCAGTCTTTCTGATAAAACTAGGTCAGAGAGGTTGGCAGAAGAATGATAGTATTTTTTTCTCAATTGTACACAATTAATAGCATGTGTCTTCATTCTCAGAAATCTTTACATTTTACATCCTAGTAAATATAAAACATGATCATCACTAAATTATGCTCCATTTTAAAACTAAAAAAAAGCAGTTGAACAGCCCCACGAGATTTTCATAAAAATAAAAAATAAAACACTTTTCACATTAGAATTTATTCAATAAAGTTACATTGCAAATAAATAAGAAGGATGATTAACACTCTCTCACATATTGCAATTTTATATTTTAAATTAAGGACGGTATAAAATATTATAGAGGCGTGTTCTGCCACATATTTTTTCTCTGTTCTATAGTACCACTTCTTCAATGTCATCCTCTGAAAAGTCAATAGGTTTTATGAGGGGTTTTCCTACTGTGGGTTGTGAGCTGTGTCTATTAGAGTTTATACTTTTGCCACCACTGGCGATGAAAGGATAATCTTTTTCTTTAATGTTCCTTTCCCATGGGAAGGTATTTTGGGAACCTTGATCAATTTTGGCATTGCCTGCAGCAAAGCCGCTGGAGTCACTGGCTTTAGGGATTGATGGGAGCGCAGTGGTAGAGCTGCTTCCAAAAAGCTGCTCAAGTAAATTGGACTTTTTATCTTTCTGTATATTTAATTTAGTATTGCTTATAATAACCGGGTCCTCCAATACTTTTTGATCCTTTTGATCTAGTGCAACAGATCGTCCTTTTCCAAAAGATGGAGTGTAATTACCAAATGTAAGATCAACAGAAGAATCAATGTTTTTGTTTCTGCGGGTGGATGCTTCGGTGTTTGACGAAACATCACGACTATCATGAACTGGAACCCCATTGAACAGTTTTTGAGTGGGCTCAGAGAAGGTGTACATCTTGTGCTTTGTTTTAGTGGTGTCCAGATTTAGGTATGAATCTGGTGGTGTTTGAGGAGGAGACTTGTGTAAATCAGAGTGAAATGTATCTTGGTTCTCCTTATCAATTTCAAACAGCTTTGCAAGCAGAAGCTCCTTTTTATGCCTCTCTTCTTCTGTAGTATTTATGTGCTCTTCTTTTTCAAGTTTGCTTTGGTGGTCTAAATCTTTTCTCCTTCTTTCAGATTCTTCTTTTTCCCATTCTGCAAAGAAAATGAAGGGAAAAGAAAAGTGAAAAATATTTTAAAGGAGGCTATCAGAAATACCTAGACAACACGGCATGCAACTACATGCCTCCATTTAACCCCTACATGTCTGCATTCATACATTACATGCCTTTATTTATAAAAAAAATGCATCAACACAAACTCTTTGGTAAAAGCACAACTGCTAAAACTAAAGACTAAAAGTCTCTTGTTCAGGGCCTTACAAATCTGGGCCAGGCTGCCTTTTAACCATTAGAATCCATGTAAAAAAAGAAGCACCATACCACTGGAGGCTCATCTGAGCACCACCTGTATGTCGAAACAATTACAAGATTCTTTGTTCACCCCTTCTATATAGCTGTGGAATATTCTGGTGCTTATTAAATTAAATAATAATATATATATGCCATTCAAGAGGCATCACACTACCTAAGCATGTTACCACACTCATGCCACATAAGATCAAAAAACTATTCAAAGGTTATGGTTTATTGTCATGGGAGTATTCCATCCTCCATTATTTCATTTTAAATCCCACCTGATTTCCATGTGGGACTAGGTCCCCCTGGTATATTTCTGGAGTCTTTCTAGCGACTCTATACCATTGGCTACCCAAGCATTAGTATTTAGTTACAGTGAGCAGCTGCTGGCAGCTTCCTGTTTAGTACATATGCTGCCATCAGCGGCATGACATTTTTTTTTTTTTTAACTCTTCATTGTAGTAATATGGGTTTAATATTGGACTCCCATTGGCATACACAACCACCTTATTATCACAATATTCCTTACGTGTATTTTTTTAAAACTAAAAACATATAGTTTAGAAGATTATGTGATTAAACAGCACACATGCATCCTTGTGCTTTGCCCATCTGTTTGTGAATGCGAATTTAGCATGATTTAAATATATTTTTTAATGTGGATTTGATTGTTATGATGGAAAAAAAACTTTATTATATATATATATATATATATATATATATATAAATAAAAGTTTCTAAGCATATATCTCGCTCTACGAATATATATATATATATATATATATATATATATATATATACACACATATACATACACACACATTGCTCAAAAATATTAAAGGGAACACAAAAATAACACATCCTAGATCTAAATGAATTAAATATTCTTCTGAAATACTTTGTTCTTTACATAGTTGAATGTGCTTACAACAAAATCACACAAAAATAAAAAAAATGGAAATCAAATTTTTCAACCCATGGAGGTCTG